TCGGTCAGGTAGCTGTGCCGAAAAAGTAAACAAGAGAGAGAGAGAGAGAGAGAGCGCGAAACTCCTTCGGAAGGACCAATGTCTATTGAAGGGCGGTATTATAAATATTTGGAGCAATTGACGAATGATCTCGGTTTCAAGAGATATCACACTTGTTCCCGCCCATGTATTAATTTCTACTTATATTTTCTCTCAACGCTACAACTGTTCATTGAATAAATGTGTAGTATACATATATGTAACATATGCTTATTAAATAAAATTGTTAAACATCTGAGATATTGAATACGGTGGTTCTGGTGGAAAAACATCGTGGCTCACGATGTTTCGAAAACGTCGCCGGATTGACCAGAAAATACGGGTCCGGCCATAAAAAAAAGGTCTAGCAGGTACTCAGCGGGTGGTCTACCCGGATTTTCGCGCTAGTCTGCAGAACAAGCCGGCGGGCCCTTCTGAAGCCCCCGTGCTTTTACATGGGTTTCCCTATACTTTCAATTTTCTCCTACGGTACTGTAGGCTCCGCCGGGCCATCTCTCGAGTCAAAAATTTCACCCCCTTCCACGTAGTATTCTCACTACGGCTACGGTAATGGGAACAGGCCTTAACGGCTGCGTGCCGCTTGGATTTTAACGCATCAGGAGCAAGAGCGGCGGACTGATGTTTCACCTTCTCTCTCTACTGAGCCGAAATTGAGCTGAGCTCGGAGCATACGGATACAATGCGATAGTGTGCGTAAGTGGAGGAGCAGATTGTCGGTGGCTTTCGTCCTCAACCTGGCATCTCTGGCCCAATGTGATGCGATACAAAAGGGGTTGAGAGGGGCCGTGAAAGTTACCCGAAAATTTGTAAGCGAATTTGATGTTTTTCAATGATTCATTATAGGTTGTAGTGGAGCGAGGAAAGAACAGAGGTCTGGAAGATGCGAAAATCTGAGAGGGAAATACTGGTAAAAAAGGTATCCGGGAGAAAGTTTTCGTTAATAAAGTCATTTGTGTCGTTCCCCAATGAATACATGCGTAAGTTCGTGTTTCCTGGCTTATGGCAGAAAAAATGTAGAATGTGATGCTTAGTCGTTGATTGTCTTATTGTTAGTCCTTAATGACGATACTTCATCAGTCTACGTGCCATTTGAGGGTCGTTTGTCTTCGGCATGTAGTTTGTGACGGTACGCATGAGGGAAACCCGTAATAAGAATATCCTCACGCCAGTTGCCGAAAGATAGAAAAATACCATACATAATACATACTACCTTAGAATACATGCAAAAATCTTAAACATGTAAGGTTTTTTTTCTGCGGACGTATACATGTAAGAACGCGAATGTATTAGACGGAGTATAAATCTAATTATAAAATACATGAGTATACACACTAAATCTTTCGTATTATTAGTAAGACAAAATAACATTATATTTGACCGACGCTATTTCGATTGAAGGCGTACGTCGTCGAAACGTAGCATCCCCTAATAATTTATGTTTTTAACTAAGACGGAATTTCGACGGAACAAGCCCCGTGGTAGATGTTCCAGTCCTTTTTTGTAATTTTTGCAAACAAATTACTTCTTTTTGTGTAATAGTGAAATATATTACATAAGTACGAAAGTTTGAATGGTTGTTTGTTACTCAATTACCCAAAAATTGAAATGTAACACGTTCTCTCTTTCTGTCTTTACTACTTTTCATTTGTCGTATACTTGGAGCTACGTGTTTTCTATACATGGACGTGTGCGAAGTTGGTCGAAAACCCTTGAGTCACTCATACATTGCTCTCACGCCTCAGGTACGCATAAATATAGTTACATACAAACGTATTTACTTAAACAAATAGTTGTTCAAAAAATATTATTCAAAAAGTAAAAATATTAATCATGTAGAAATATTATTTAAAAAGTAATATTGTTTGAAAATATGGATTAATAAATAATAAATATGGATTCTGTAGGATAAATTATGAAGAACATCTACTGAAACGTTTTATTTCAAACGTTTTATTGTTAAAAATAAAAAAAAAACATTCCTGGGTATGAATTTAACATCACAAAAATCGGTACGTCTTTAAAAGACAGCAATAAAAAAAAAAATATCAGAGGGCAAAAGCCCTAATGGCAGTAGTAAATCACTTCTCAGTCAGACTGTGACGTGTAGTAAGAATGTTAATACTTGCGAAACGATGACGAAGCATTTTAAAACATTTCAATGTCTAGTGAAGACAATATTATGAAAAGTGTACTGTTTACGCTGGCGTGCGTGTTCATATGCAATGAAACACGTGTGCACTGCAAGAACATTGTACGAGGTTGTTACAGAAAACGCTGTTCTGCTGAGTTTCGGTGAGCTTAATAAGAATGTCCAGAGAATTACTACATTGCAGCGCTGTTTTCCGCGTGCAAAGCTGCTTACACCATCGGATTTTTTATCCCACGGGTAATTACACTGCCTAAACCGCTTTACGTCCCATTTACGCTTATGTATAATTAATGTTTACTCATAAACATCCACAGTCCGCTAATGACGTCAACAAACAGTATCATATTTTATAACTGTCACATTTCTATCCAGGCTTCTATTTAAAATAAAACAGCGTACAGTAGATTATTTCCTGGACGCTGGTTTTCCGAAATGTTGTTTATCCTATTATTCTAATAGAAAATGAACCACTTACGTATGTACAATAGAAGTCATGCACTTCGATATTTTAATTTCGGTTATATATGTCAGTAGACTTCTTCATTTACTAATATTTTGTTTTGGAATTATATAT